CATTACTAGAGATTGATGGGGCTATCTTAACTCCACTATAAAACCTCACTCCGGCCCACATGACCTGCAATCCAATTGTTGTGCAAGCCTAATGATAGATTGGGAAAATTAAGTACATGTAGTCTTGTGTATATATATTTACATATATATAACCATTGTAAACTTTAATCAATAAAAGACTCTATTGTGATTTTTATTGCATAATTACGATATTTCAATTAAATACAATTTGATGAGTTACTCTTTTTCCATATCTCGATCATGGCAAGAAGCACCCGACATCAACGCTAAAAAAACGGAAGCCTGGAAACAACCACCGGTCGGCCGATCACCGTCGAAGATGGATCTCTACTGTGTCTGAGCCTGTTCTCCTCAATTCACGACTCCTTCACAGCAGCCATGGAAGCCTTCTCCGAACACCCTGTCATTTAGCCTCCCCCTTATTCCCCCATTTTGTCCGACCTAATTCTATCCGCGAATTGATCGTCCTCGCCATGGATCTCGATTTATTTCACGGGAAAAATATAAGGATCGTGTTGTTTTGTGAAATTGATCGAGAAGTATACGCTGAGAAAAAAAATCGAAGGTATATTCATGTTTATGTTTTTTTTTGTGATCAATTACGAATTTTTTTTTTTTTGTTTTTTTGTGTTTTTTTGTTTACTTTGTGATTTCATTGTGTTGCATCGAGTCATAATCAGTTTATTGAAAAGATTCGGAAAATGATGATTTTACAGAGGAATCACCGAACCAGCTACAGACTATGTTGAAAACAGTGAAGTATACGGAAGATAAACGGGAAATAAACACTCCAGAACACTCCAAAAATAGTGAAGTATACGGAAGATAAACGAGAAATAAACACTCCAGAACACTTGGAGTTTTGGTCGATGGATACATGAATACTGATATTGCGGTCGTCGAAACTTTCAAAGATAAAAGTGTCCATGTGTCTTAATACTTCAATTAAAGGGTAGAATCATTGTAGGCCTACTATTTTTGTCGATGGTACTTTTTTTAGTTTCGCATATGGAGGTACACCAAGGTCGGTGTTTTAGATGGGGTGTGCTTTGGCGGTGGCGAGATGGGCTAGCTCTGCTTACGGCCACGTAACTGTGACGGTGGGGATTTCAGTTCAGATTATTTGCATTTTGGCTGTGATTTGATGTTTGGTATGAGAAAAGCAAATCTTTGGCAAATAAAATCAATATATTCATCTACCGTTTATGTTAAGTATAACTGTACATATACTTCCTCATAACCACGAAAAAATATGTTTAGATATACTGTATATATACATTAGATAAACATGGTCTAACATTTCTCTAATATTACCTGTATAGTTATACATAAGATAAACAAGATATAAACAACACTAAAACGGTATAAAACACATAATACACAATTCTGGACGAACGACTCGACATCTAAAGTGCGTACATGCTGCGAACGAATTTCTCGTTGACGAACTGTCAGGTTACGACTTCGAATGGCGGCCGACTCACGGACTAAGTCCTCGGCGGTGATGGCGGACGAGGCTGCTACAAGGAACTCGACTCGGGTGAGTGATGGTGAAATGTTCGCTCGGAGAACCATCAGCGGCTCATGAAAGTGCTGATCGGAGGACTAACGGCGTTGCTGCTCCTCGCGCGGAAGGTTGCACTACTCGGGGATGATGGGTGGTTTCCGGAAAGCGGGTCACGACTTACGTCTCGGCTGGGGGGAGAGTGGATCTCGACGATGGCAGCGCGTGGCCTTGAAGCTCGCGACTATGGCTTCTCAGAGGGGTTCGAGTATGAGGTTTACTCGACAAAGGCTTGCTCGTGGCTATGGCATCTAGTGTTCTTCTCTAAGCCATCGACGAAGATATGGATGAAGAAGGACAGAAGTTATGCAGGTTCCTAGATTAATTTGGTCCAATTCTCATTAATTGTAGGTCAGTTAAATAAGGTAAAAATTATTCTTAATACAAGTATAATTACTGAGAAATCTCGTAGATATAAAAATAAAATTCTTCACTCGTAATTTTAATATTAACATTATAATGATTAGTAAGGGAAGTAAATTTCTCATGATGATTTTGTTATGGTGTATAATTGTGTATTTACTTTATTAGTCTTAGGTTATTTTTAATTATGTCTAGTCTTAATTTTGTGTATATATACTTTGTTAATAGAGAGTGTTTATCATCCGATTGAAATGAGATTCACTACAATATTCGCCTCATCTCTCTCATATCATGATATCATAGCCTAATTTTTTTTCCAGTCGCGTTTTTTTCCCGTCAAATATGATAGCTTCCATCCATTCAGACTGGTAATCGCGATCGACTCCATCCTTCGTCATCATCGCGATCGATTGCTGCTCGAATAAGTATCCACTAGAGTTTCCCATCTGGTCAACTGCATCTCGACCCTCGTCCACATCTTTGGTCGTTGTCCGCAACATTGCCCGTCGTCAACAGTCGTTGCGTCTTCAACATGCCACAGTTGTTGTCTGCAGTCTTGGCCTTGTTTTGTGAAGAAAGAACAGTTGATCTGCAAATTACCATCGCAATAAAAAAAGGGCCAACCATAACGTCTGAGATCAACATTCTTTTTTGGCACTTCTTGAGATTTTGGGGATAAGAAGCAGTGTGCGTATAAAAAAAAAAGGTTGGCGGCAGTGCGCATATCGCCAAAAAAAAAAAAGAAGGTCAGATTATCATCGACCTAACATCGGACTAGATTCACGGTTGTTTTCTTCCTCATTAACTCGACAGTTGTCGCAACTCCTTCATCGCTACGTTTTCAACATCCAACTCCGGCATTGGTTGTGGCGACAGTGATGGGGTGGTGGTCCGAAAACCATCTCAGTAGATGATATCACGTCTTTTGACAATCCAAACTATTTAATCACTCAAGTATTGCTTAAGGGTAACTCCAGTAACAAAGAATGGCACGGAGTCTTCTGATTGCTCTTCGGGCCTGAAAGAAGTTCGATTTTCTCGATGGTTCAATCTCATTTCCGTTCACCAATTCTGAGTGCTCGAAGATTGGTGTGCCAACAATGATTTGTTGGTCTCGTGGTTGATGAAATCTATTGAACCCAAAGTTCTCTCTTCCATTACTCAACACGAATATGTCAAAGATATTTGATTTTCTCTTAAGGAGCGATTATCTACTCGTAATGGCCTGGGAATTCAACAGTTCAAATCCACTCTTGCAAACTGCAAATACAAAGGCTTGTTAATTGAACTTTATTATGGAAAAATTATGAAGATGTAGGAGGAGCTCTCCGACTTTGAGACGTCGTCGGTCTGTCATTGTGCAAAGTGCGAAAGTAATTTGGAGACGGCTTCTGATCAAATGAACGAGGACGAACGTGCACATCCTTTTTGAAAGGGCTCGATTCGGCTTTGTATGGGATACCACATTCTTTCCCAAGAACCGTTACCATCCTTTGAATCGCGTGTATTCTACGATGATTCAAGAAGAACATATGCATATTATTTTAGGAGCGATCTAGTCGCATTTTTTTCTCGTCAAATATGACCGCTAACATCCATTTGGATTGGTAATCGCGATCGACTCCATCCTTCGTCATCATCGCGATCGATTGTTGCTCGAATAAGTCTCCACTAGAGTTCATGTCTGGTCAATTGCATCTCAACCCTTGTCAACATCATTGGTCGTTGCCCGCAACATTGCCCGTCGTCACCAATCATTGTGATATGGGATATTATATCTCAACAAGTAAACCGGTCCAGCGAGCAGGTCGAGCAAAGCTGAACATAGATAAGACAAAGTCGGTCGAAAAGGAAATGAGGGAACACGACCACAGTCAGATTACCTCAGTATCAAGAGGACGAGAATCTTGGTATAAAGAGCAGTCTAGAAGGCAGAGAAAGTCTGGTCGATAAGAGGAGAGATCGAGCAAAAAGTTGTCCAGGTGGTCGACACAAGATTCAGGAGCGACCTGATGGTCGAGCACCCAGCAAGGGAGATAGGACGTGAGACGTTGACTTGGATAAGGTCAACTATAAGAGTCTCCAACGAAATTGTCAGAGTGATGTCAGTAGAATCAAGGGGGGAATATTTTACCCATGTGCAGAGGACACGTGTAAAAGAGGTATTGGTGCAGAGGATAGTGGCAACGGCTACCTCTGACACATGCACACTGCGTGTGTACGAACGGGCAGTTAGGGCAGACAACTCGTCAAATTCGGGCAGCCATTAGGTCAGGTATCTCACCCTTATATATAGGGAGTGAGCCTTTCTTGTTAAACACGATCATTCTTTACTTACTCTTGAGAATTGATTGAGCAAACACTGAATTAAGCTTTGGAGGATCTTCACTGGGAAACCCCTCCTGTGTGAGAGTTATTTGTAGGTGCATGACATTCAACCGGCGAGAAAGAAGGCGATTACTCGAATTCCAGCCGGTCGGAGAGTTTTGTGTTACCACGTTGCGTCTTCAACATGCCACAATTGTTGTCTGCAGT